CAAATTAGGTTGCAATGCCTGGACCACTTGTTACACATAAAAAAAGGTAATCCTCAATTTTAGCCCTCTCTTGAAGCAAAGTGTGACATGTTATACGAGAGCATTAGTTGTTCAATGATCCATTTGACCATAACCCTAACCTAAATGTTTTCATATTGAACGTGTAACATAGTCAAGTTAGTATGTAATACTAGTAGGTACCTACTCTATAATATTTATTGTTTAAGTAAATATTATGTTGTGTATTTGAATAAGCTACTAATAAAATTAACTCTTACACGAAACACTTTTTATTAGATACATAACACTTTTTCTCCTGAAGAGGGGACTAAAATCGACATTTTTGGTATTCGTACTAATATACTGTTGCATTCACAGAACCTTTTGAATGGTTTGTCACACGCTGTACATTCCTTATCTGTTTGTTCTGATATCATCTTTAGTTCATATGACACAGCCACTGTAAGTTTTTAAATGGTCACTTTGTATGATAATTATATTAATATAAATTAAAAACAGTTTAGATATTGGAGAGGCTTGAAAAACAATTTAAAATATGCCTAATTTATGCATGATATAATCTTCACTCTAAACACAATACATTAGGTTATGTTACTCCTCTCCTCTTTGTTCATTCCATTTGTGGGAAACAGTTAAAAAACCATCAACGGTCCGTCGAATAATTAAAGTTAAAAGTCGTCAACGGCCCGTCGAATAAATAAAGTTAAAAGCCATCTAATTAAAAATTACAAAAGAACCGTAACAATTTTACGTTGCTTGTGAACAACGTTTGAAAAGCCTATCAACAGCCGTCAAATATTTAAAGCTAAAGGGGTCTATTCTGTAAAAATTCCTTTTTATTTAACGGCCTTTAAAAATATTTTCTTCTTTAATTCGGTCACTATTTAAACGGATCTTTAAAATACATTAGAGAACTATCTTAAAGAAATCTGTTTAAATAGAAGTAAATTAACGAATACGAACCTATTTTTATAGGCCGCCAATATTTTTAAAGGCCGTTAAATATAAAGGAATTATTACAGAATAGACCCCAAAGACAGTTAATTACACATTTAAAAAAAAAAACATTGATTTTACAGTTGTATGTTGGAAACAGCTAAAAAGCTATCAAGGGGTCATCAAAATATTAAAGGTAAAGCGCAGTTAATTATAAATTTCAGATGGGCCGCAACGATTTTACAGTTGCATATGGGAAACAGTTTAAAAGCCATCAACAGCCTTTTAAATATTTAAATTTAAAAGGCAGTTAATTACAAATTTTGAAAGCTCCATAACTAAAGTTAAAGGGCACATAATTACAAATTTCAAACAGGCCATAATGATAAATTAAAGTTGAAATGCAGTTAATTACAAGTTTCAAACAGGCCATAACGATTTCTTGAGGAAAACAGCCGATTAAAAAATTAAATTTAAAGAGCAGTTAGTTAAAAATTTCAAATGATTCGTAACGATTTTACAGTTGCATGTGGGAAAGAGTTAAACATATATCAAAAGCCCATCAATGAATGAAAGTTAAAGGACAGTTAATTACAAATTTCAAGAGGACCATAACGATTTTGCCCTTACAAGTTACTTTGTCATCACAATCGTTAAAGGGCCAACAACTTGCAACAACTTCAATATTTGTTGGGATAGTCCAATGAAGGTTCATTTTAGATCCATTTGAGAATCAGAACGTCCATAGCCGTATTCAAACGTCCAGTGTACGTCCGCTTTTAGACTTAATTTTAAATTTAGTAGTATTCTGACTTTCATCCTAGGTCATTATTCATTTAGTTTACCAGATAAAACCTATATATAAATTATAAATATTTGGTCATTTTATTCCATCAGCTGAAGTTTAAGATCATATTTACTATAAGAATCATATGTAGCAACAAATTGTTAAGTGCATATTTGAAAATTATGAAAATGAAAATTCTTTAATTTTCCCTACAGAATTATAAAAATTACACCTTCATATCTCCAAAGCGAAAACAACCCAGGCAGCACACATTAGTATAACTAACGTATTTTATACGTAATACTCGTTTAATTTTGGTATTGGTTGATTCCGTATACGGTTACAGTTAACGATTATTATAAATGCCGTATTTTAAAAGATATATTATACGTTTTTTGTATACATCCTATGGTATATAATTGTAAATTTTTCTACGTTTAAATGTAGTTAACAATATACGACTATTTTTAGTTTGCGATGAACTATTTATATACAGTGGGCCTAAATATACGTTTAGGTTTATTTAAATTAAATTCGTATAAATTTACATAATATTACAATATGTGTTCTTCGTTTATAACTCCCGTTTAAATTTCGTCTTGGTTGATTTTTAAACGTTTACCATCTACCATTTTTATACTTTTTTATACTATATTTTTATACTATAAATTAAACGCTTTTGTTTGTGGATACTAGTTAATATACCTATATTATTTTACGTTTAAATATAAGTCACCTTAAACGCATATTCCCAGTTTATGATGAACTAGTAGACAGAAGTAAATAATATGTATATATTTAGGTTTATTTAAATAAAAAGCTTATAGATATATTTATTTACATTACACCATATTTTTTTAATTGTATTACCTGTAATATTTATAACAAATTCCCCATTGTACAGATTTCAAACACACGAACATTTAAATAACCCGCCAATGACCATGGTGGGGTGGACTAGTCCATGTCGTTTCAGTGAGTGAGATTCGGAGTGTGCTTTAAGCTAAGTCCTAAGTTCGCGCAGTGCAGAGAATCGAGAGTGGAGTAAGGTACCGGCAGACGATCGGGAATCAGCTGACTGATTAATCAGACAATTCACGCTAATATAAGTTATATTTCTGTTAACTAGTTGCTAACCACGATAATTGTTTTTTATGTAATAAAAAGTTCTTGTAAAATTGTTGGTGTTGTTGTGCCCAGTTAGATTGCATGTTGCTTTGGCGTCCTGGCTTTTACGATATTGGTTAAAAGCATATAGGTAAGTTTCTATTAATGTTTTAATTAAGCTACTCGTTTAATAATTGTTGCATTTTATTACCTATTTTTTTTTTGGCTACCTAGTTATTCCAAGCATACTTATTTTCCTTTTTTTTTGTCAGTTGTTTTTTTTTAATAAAATGTCTAAAATAACCCTGTCTCGGCGTCATCTACTAAGAACAATAGCACAAAATGTTCAAGATGCTTTAAAGTCAAATCAATTTTTTTTATTCTCAATGAAGATAACATTAATAAGGCTTCGGACATTAATATATCATCTGATTCTATTATTTATAATAATTTCCTAGAAAATAATACAAATTTAACTTTGGAGCTTTTAGAAAATATTTCAGTTATATTTTGGTTATAGGAATGTCGGTGAACCAAGAGACTTAACCGACCGAACGATTTGAAGTGCTATGCAAGATTGGCTTAAGTTAGCTAAGGCCTGTCTAGGACACAACACATCCAAAGTGTTAAGCTAAGATTTTAATTTTCATATATATTTTTTGTAATTTAAAGAAAAGTTTCGTTTAGTTTGTTATTCAGTATTTTAGTGTTTATTTTTTACTACTTATTTATTTTTTAGTATTTTATTGTTTATTTTTTTTAATAAAACATTGTTCTGTACATATAACAAGTGATCAAAAAAATTTCCTAAATATTTAGGTCAATTACAACCAAAACAGAAACACGAGTAATACCTATTTCTAGTGTATACACACCTGCTATGGATGAAATCCAAACTATCATTTAAGAAATATTAACATTTTTCCATGGCCTCTTTTAGAAATTTTGTTTTGATCACTTTATTTAATTTGTGTTTGAAATACATTTAAAACAATATCAGGTAGACGCCTTTTACACATTAATAAAATAAGATAAATCTAATATAGACGTATAGTAAAACAGGATAATAAAAGGTAGATAAAGTAGTAATGTTAGACGTATAAAACATAAAAAAAATATACGTTTATAGGGCGGACATTTTCACGTATATATTGGGTAGCATATCAACGGTATCCATATATATATTGTAGTACATAAAAAAACGTCTTTTATACCAAAGTGGATTCGTATAAATATACTACAACTATAAATCTAATATAGACGTATAGTAAAAACGTTTAATTATAGGTGGATAAATTCTTAGTAATCGACGTTTATAAGGCGGACATTTTCACGAATATATTTGGTAGTACATCAACCGTATTCATACGTATGGTAGTACCTAAAAAAAAACGTAATTTATACCAAAGTGTGCTGCCTGGGAAACCAAAGAAAAATTGAAAAAGCTGAGAATTAAAGAAAGAAAAAATACGTACGAGACCGGGAGTCTAACGTGGGACCTCACTGGAACCCCATTGGTCATTGTTTAACGTTCATTGCATATATGTGAAATGTACAAATATACTTTAGAAAGGGACGTCCTCTGAATGGTCAAAATTGTGTTCAGACATCCAAAAATTTATATCGAATAAATGTCCGATGGACATATTTGTGTTGTCTGCGATCGATAGATTACCACGATTGCGAAACAAACTTCTTTCGATACAAACCACTATCTGTCATTTATAAACGCTGACTTCATAATCATTTTTAATTATTTGTCCAAACATAAATTCGTGTGGTACGTCTAAATTCCAACTTATTTTTAGAAAATACAATTGCCTCGCACTCATAGCATTTTCGTCGTTAATATTGACATTCGTGATATTTCAAAAAATTGTCCATAATAATCGTACCTACCACTTACTACTGATTCCTAACAGCATGAAGGTCATCAAAATAATCAATCAGTAATTGGATATTCTCATACACGTGAATAAAAATTAACGATTTTGACTCGTTGGCTATTGAAGCCAAAAATGTTCTTTTCAAGTAGTAAAACCTCAATTACAGCATAAACATTTACAAGGTTTAACTATTTTCAATATATTAAAATGTAGAAAGATGATTTGTCAAATGGGTTTTGATTTTTATGTCTCTTGGATCTTACCTCTTTTGATCTGAACTGTTCATGCGCTGACAGATTTTTTCCATCGTTATTTCCAAGGTGATTATAGCTTACAATACTAACTGGCTTAATACCAGCACCAACCAGGAAATCAACCAAAACGCTTTTAACCTTGGTCTGTCCGGATTTAAAATCATCTCCTGTAATAAACACCCCCTCTTTTTCGGCAAAATCCACTATTCCTGGTACAAATGTATTCTGCGGAGATCCGTTGATGAATGTACAACCCATGGATATCGAAGCATAAGCAAAAATCGAAGAGGGGGATATTTCACTGTGGTTAGCGAAAATGGCCTTCTTTATGTTTTCAGCTGTGTCGTTAACACCCTCTATGACGGCGCTAAAACATTCTGTGTTTGCTGTCCAAAGGACAATCACTTGATCGAGGTTATGTGATTTTTTGAAATCGGCTATGTCTGACTTGATTTTTTCAAGTTGATCTTGCTTTTTGCCAGATATTAGATTGTCTACTCTATTTTTCTGAAAAATAAAAGTAAGAGATAACAAAATTGATGAAATCAAAATTTGACCTACTACATTGATGATCAAAAACCATAGGATATTTATACCTGATTGGCAGCTATGAAGTCGGAACAATAAATAGAGGGCCTTGGCTTCATATTTTGCATATGAGGCTTTAACTGCTGTTGCAATGATACGTCCAAAACTTGTGCTCTCTTCATAGCGTCTGCAAGATTCATGGAACTGATGTCCCAACCATCGATAACGATGTCATCTGGATTGACCATTGGAAGTAAATTCGAGAATGGGATATAAACACCGCTGCCCAATGAGACTGTCGCTGCCTGGGTCAGGGAACCTTAGGAACAATAATAAAATTTAAATACAAAAATTTGGCAAACATATCATAAAAATTATTAATATGTCAGAAGACGATAATAACTGTGAGGTATATCAACAAAATAAATACGACAGAAACCCACTAATAATAAAATTTAATTTAACGCCAACTGCCTATAAATTCTTCGATTATGTACATATCGATGTGTTCAGAATATCCAATAATCCATATGTATCGATTATAGATTGGTTTTCCCGATATAGGCAAGCATATCCCATTTCAAGTAATAGCGGTATATCTATAGTTGAAAGTTTATTAAACTACGTCACCCACCATCTAGATAGCCATTTGATTTATGGACGCCCAATTTTCCTATGTGGAAAGACGTTGTCCAAGTAGTTTCTCACCAAAACATTATAGTGTGGGGGTGCACCAGCTTGCTGCAGCCACAAATCATTCTTAACCGATTCAGTTCGGGTAGTAAGAAATTTTGCAGAAATTCTAAATATCCAGAACTTGTTATTGAAAAACTATGGAACTGTGATCATATTATCTATTATTCCCGCTCATATGTTCAATTTCTTTGGGCATTGAGAAGAATACTCATATGTTCAATGTGGATTTTTTATCGCCTAATACCGACATGTCTGACGATTTATATGACCGTTTAGAAGAAATGTAGCTTTTTAGCTTTGACTCTCTGTTATTATATTTTCGCAAAATTCAATAATTCGTCTTCCAGTAGCTCTTGAACTAAACTATAACTTTATAGTGATGCCACTTTTCCTTTTTTTAAGCGTTCTAAGAACTGTTGCATGGTTGACATTATATTCTAATGCTACTTACTTACTGTGAACTGGTAGGGATATTCTCTTTTTATTGTGATTTGTTTTCTACTACCTACCTTTATGGAGGTCCTTTACACGGTCCGTTTCTCTGAATTTCTTAATTATTTTTGCTTACGGTTGATTGATAAATTAGTTCTTGGTTAGGATAGTTATGGATGAATTAAAAAACACTATCTGTGTCTTTGTTTTGTCTTCACAACTAATCATTTTCAGAATTTCAATTTTTTGCATCCCATTAAGCTTAATTCTGATAGAAAGTCTTTTTGAACGCAATCTATGCACTATTATTGCCATTTAAATTTGACCAGTCAATTAAGTCTATTTTGAACATAGCAATCTTGATAAGGAGTGCACTTTTTTAGAAAAAAAAAGTCAAGCAATTTATTATCTCTAGAAAAAATGTTTTATCCCGCTGTTTTACTTTGGATTTAATTAACTGCATGTTATCGTATTAACCCCAACTAGTAGGTAGTTGTTTTCCTTGATAAGGTCTCTGAATTTTTCACATTTTCCTTTTTGCTTTTAAATTGGTCAACATTTGAGTATTTTATTATATGTAGTAGGCAAAGTGGAGATTAACTAGCTTCATGTGACCACATCAACAGTGCTAGTAGTGCTATACTCGTAAAAATGTAAACTTAAAAAAGTTCGTTAAATCTTAAAGTTTATGTCCAATTATTGTAGTAAAAATATTTTTTTCTACGAACTCTTACAAAAAGACATCTTTCGCCACAGGATACTTTCAGCGAAAACTTGATTTCCGTCACTAGTGAGAAAAATCCCATAACGTTTACTTTCGTCTCTAGTGACGAAAGTAAGTTGTTACATATTTTCATATATCAGTCGCCTCGTATAATATTTTGGCAGCTTATAATTATTAATAATGAAATAAAAAGATGCTCATTAAATTCTATATGCGTTTTTACCTAAACTTTAATGAATTAAAGATAAAATAAAAATGTATAAAAATAGTGCAAATTAAACCAATCTACATCTAGTTTCCTGGTTTTCATTTGTTTATTTGAAGTTTTATCACTTTTGAGAACTGTCAGTTTCAGTTCGTCCTAAATTTAACACATTTTCATGTCTGAGTCAGAAAGCGATTGTACTCCCCCAGAAATTATTTTTAAAGCTGAAGAAACCTCTTCAGATTTATTACCGGCAAAATCAAAAAGAGATATGAAGAAATTTATATCAAATTTTTGGACTGGAGAGAAAAAAATAAAGTGAAATCATTTTCGGAAACTGTACTACTAGCATACTTTGGAGAAATATGTTCAAATTTTAAACCGTCGACGTTATGGTCCATTTATTCGATGCTAAGAACTACACTCTCTGTTAAAAATGATGTCGATATTAGTAAATGTCCAAAGTTACGTTCGCTTTTGAAAAGAAAATGTGATGGTTTTAAAAGCCAAAAATCCAAAATTTTTTCGCCTGAAGACATAAAGACTTTCCTAAAGAATGCACCTGACTATAAATATTTAATAACAAAGGTAACGGAATTATTATTTTTATTTTAACAAATACTTAATACATAACTACTAATATTTGTAGGTAGCATTAGTTTTTGGATTATCTGGCGCTTGTCGTTGCCACGAACTAAAAGATTTAACAATAAACGATGTAAAGGATACTGGAAGTATTCTGTTAGTTAAAATCCGTAATACAAAAACAAAAGTTCCGCGTTCTTTTCATATTTCTGGACCCTTTTATGATATTTCTAAAAAATATATGAGCCTACGTCCCGCAAACATGGATCAAATTAATTCAAGATTCTTTATTAACTATCAGAATGGAAAGTGTAGCAGACAGGTTGTTGGAATTAATAAAATCAGTAAATTTCCTAACGAAATTGCTCAGTTATTAACTATTGAGCCGTGCGTATAAATTTCGTTGATTGCATAATTTCGTTGATTTTGTTTGAGCTCTGTGTTGTGTTAAGTTAAAGTTACTGTTATTATTTTGATGACTCTTTAGCTGTGAGTAGAATGAGTGAAAAAAAAAGACATCATTCTGTTTGTGCAGTCAAAAACTGTTTTAATAAGGGTTATACCTGCAAGAAAATATTCTTTCGTTTTCCCAAGGACCTAAACCAGAAAGTACTACATTATAAGAAATTTTCATTGTTAATAATATAATTTATACAGGGTGTCCCATTAGTGTGTAATTGGTCAATATTTCAATTTGTTTTGTAGACACACAAAAAAGTTTTAAATATAGGTTATAAGGATTTGAAAAATACATATTTTAAAAATATTTTTGGATATACAGTGTGTCGCGTTCTTGCCTAACAAATCAAAATGTATGTTTTTTAAATGGAACATTGTGTATTTTATTTTAGTTTTAGAATGGTTTGGTAATACTGTATTCAACCCTAAAATATATTAAAAAATATTACAGTGTTGCCAAGCAATTAATTTTTTATTGAAATTAAAGAATGATGCAGACCCCAAATTAAATTGTCATAATTTAGGTAGGTTTACATTGATTTTAAAATTGTTTAATACACAGACTTATAAGATATTAAGCTAACGAATAGTGGTGATAGAAGTGGTTTATTTTATACAGAGTGTTTTGAAACATATCTTAAACTAACCGTGTAAGGTGCATCTACTCACAAAAAAATGATTTGCAAACACTGTGCATTTAAACCTTCAAAGAATGGATATCCGCGTCAAATAAACCATAAGTAGTAAATTTGACCCTGTTCAAAATAATTTTTCTACGCCCACATAAATATTAGCTAATCTAAAAAAAAAAATGAAAAAAAATTTTTTTTAATCAATCTACATGATACTAATTTAATTACGAGTATTAAAACTAAAATCCTAAAAGTATCGATAAATTATTTTAAAATTAGTTATTTTGTCTAAATAACCTAAAATAATTTTTTAAATTTGTAGATTTTCGTCAGTGGATCGTAGAAAAAATATACTGTACAACTCGAGTGGATTGTCTATATTCACTCTTGTTGCACAAAACTACTATTTATTTGTTTTCTTGTTTTAATGTTTACATCAGTAAATAAAAACTAAATTAATTTACTTTTTAAGTTTTCTTGTATAAATCGATATTACTTTCTCCAACTACAAATTAAGTACCTACCTAAAATAGGTACTAATTATGTAATTTCCCGTAATATTGTAATTCAAATTTCACATTACTATCAAGTTTCAAAATTCCCTACTTCGGTACGAACAGATAAAAATTGAATATATTATATTAACAAAAACTGTCAAAATATTACTTCTACAAATCTTTATTCCAATGAATAAGAGTACATCTAAAAAACCAATATTGTTAAAATAAAAGCACAAGTGACCGATTCTTTATAATAACCCAGAATACCATCGAGTTCCCAGACCTCAGGCGAAGCATTCATTTATCTAGGTATAAACCCTTTGCGCGATGAGTACCACTTGATTTGCATCCACGGGCGTGACAAAAGTCGTTAACAATTGAAGCCCTTAGTGTAAAAAGGATGCAAGCCACAATTTGTCGTGAAGTGACTGTTTTAGCTCAAAACATCTGTTAACAAGGATATTACTAGCCACATACAAATTATTTTACCTCTAATCCGAAAGATGTGCCATAAAACCTATTTAAAACTTAATTTCTCAAAACTTACTTAATGTGGCATGTAACCAACCTTATTACGCCAAGGTCTTCAATTATTTCAATATTAAAAATATTTTTTAATCCGGGCCCGACTTTTCCGTCGAATCTAACAGAGATAGCACCATTCCGTCTTGCTTGGTTCTCGACCGCCAAATCAAAGGCGCCGACACGGAGTTGTGGAGCTGTATTGTATAAGCTGTGCCCTTGTATCTAAACCTTAGATAAAAGAGACCAGAGATATAACATACACCGGTGTTTAACCTGCGCAAATGTTGCCAATTTCTAAAGAAAGGTTAACGGAGTCGGGGAACTGGCTAGAGACCCGAACTCTGTGACAAGGACCGGACTTTGTTTATTAGCATCATAATGAACTATTAGATTTATTTAAAATATATGTTTAATGGAATTTTGTATTATGAAATAAAATTAACGTGATTTTTTAATATCAAACAGATGCACGACATTTTATGTAAAGAGAAGACCTTTTATAGAATAGTTCGTTAGCTATTATTTACTAAGGACTTTTCTGTAAGAGACTACAGTAAAATG